AGTCAATAGAGATAATGCCACACTTCTTATCCATTAAAAAAATTCGGTAAATGAACTTTTCATATTCATCCTGAAAGACTCGTAGGATGGTAAAAACTCATATTATCTTCTGGTTAAATAAAAAAATATTAGTTCGATTAAGTCAGGAAATTAAGCTTTATGTTTTGTTATTATCGTTCGACAATTCCAACAACAAACGAATAAAATACTTAAAACGTTACTAACAAGATTACACTCTTATTTTTTTACCACAATCTCTAACATTTTTATTCGGTAAACCAACATATACGGAAAAGCATATAATCGGAACCGTCTCGGGTGGGTTGTGATAGCAACATTTTGTCATGGCATGATTTGAGATATTCATGAATCATGACAATTATCATAAAGTCTATATAATTGAGATAATTAAAACCTTTTTCTTTGCTTTAGTTTCGATAAAGCCGAGAAATTGAGCTTTGTGTTCAGTTATTATCGGTCGACAATTCCAACGAAAAGACGATTAGGTAATACAAATATTCTAATTTTTAAAAATATTGGATATTTTAATTTCGGTAATGGTTAAAATTCGAACAAACCTGACCAAACTTTGTATTTTTCTCTCCCTATGCTTTTGTATTATATTAATAATATATATTTTTGGTCTGATTAAAGATAGTGTGGTACGTGATCCATGACAATGCTGTACGATATATTAAAAAATTAGTATATGGCGAATATAAAAATATACTTTTAGAACGAATACTGTTTTTGCAACCAGACCAAATACTAATGCATGGAACCAAACCCATCAATGCTTTTTGCAGTGGCATAATACACAACTATTTAATAAGTATATACTTTTGTAGCTTTATAGTATCACAAAATCTTAAATTTTAAACTTAATAATAAATAAAATTAAATCATCATTAAATTGTTTTTTTTTTCACTTGATGCGATTGATAGATAACATAACACTGTTGTTGTTTACTCTCAGTGTTTATCAATTATAAAGGACTCAAATCTTGCGGTAATTTCTCAGATTCATTATTATAAAGTCACTCAAACGACAATATGCAAAAAAGATTAAAACCTACGGTCAGGATCTTGTAATTCAGAATGAGATAATAATTAGTTTTATAATAGTATAAAGTGGGAATAAGTGTAATGGACCCACCAGAATCCATAGTCCGACTAGATTGAATGGAATAAGAACCGTTGTGGGGCCCTAGTGAAAGGGACTAACCATTGCCATAGTATCAGTCGACATCGCTGACGACAAAACTAAGGCCTACACAAATGGCAGAATCTTAGTGGACAGACCATATTGACTTTTATGGTCCTCGAAGCAGTGAATTATCTCTCCCACTAACCGCCAAGCATTTCTGGGCCAGAAGACCAGATAACGACACGAATGCGGGGGTTATACGAGGATAAGGACGTGTCTAATGGCCCATAAATAAGAACCGTATTTGGCCCATTAGTACATCTTCTGAATTTATCAGCGTTGCCGTTTTCTTCCAAACGTAAAATATATAGCACGAAATTTGGAATTCTATCATATTATCGAACAGAAAAAACATAGATGTTATAATCACGTAGATTTTTAATCATCTTTTCATTTTCCTCTTAAAACTTGAAATAATATATATCTAACCATTTTTAGAGGAAAAAAAAATGATTACATAATTTGCAACGATTCTATACTGATGGTTACGATGTATTAGTTATACTGAACCATGTAGCTTTCGTGTTTAAGTAGATTAGATAGATTTGCTGATATAGCTAGTTAGTTGTATATCACCCCCTCACCTTTTTAAATAAAAAAAGCCCAATAAATTAAAACCCGGTTCATATCAAAGGCAAAACGCTAAATTAATTATAAATCGAAATCTTAATTTTTAAGCCTAAACCCAAAACTTATGTAGTAAAACCTAATCCTAGAGGTGTTCTATTCACCTATATATAGGGAAAACGACCGTCTTAATTACGAACTCGTCAGATTGAGCCAAATTAAATATGAACTTGTTACTGAGCCAAATAAAATACAGACTTGAGTTGAGTGAGCCATTTTAGATATGTAATTAGTCAACACAAACATTTGTTTATTAGTCGTTAAATGACGTTTACTGTAAACGTTAACTAAAACGACACAGTTTTACAAACAGACAAAAGATAAGAAAACCCTCAAACCAATTTCTCAAATCCCTAATTCTATCATTTTCCTCATCTCTCTTCTTCGACTCCTTCTCCCGTTGCTTTTCTCTCATCTTTCGCTTTCGATTCCGAAAGTCTTCTTTATCTCTCATCCTTAGTAGGTT